TGCTTTACCTCTATACTGATTCATGGATGGTGGCAAATGCCCTATGGGGGTGGTTACAGCAGTGGAAGTGGAGCAACTGGCAGCTCAGAGGCAAACCTGTCTGGGCTGCCCCGTAGGGGCAAGGTATGCTGCCTGGCTAGAGAAGCTGGCTGTGAAAGTACGTCACGTAGATGCCTGTGTACCCAAGAGTTGGGCCACTGAGGAACATCACAACAACCCACAGGTGGATCAGGCTGCTAAGGTTTAAAATGGCTCAGGTGGATCTGGACTGGCAACATAAGGGTGATTTATTTATAGCTCAGTGGGCCCATGACACCTCAGGCCATCAAGGAAGGGATGTAACATATAGATGGGCTCACAATCGAGGGGTGGACCTATTGCACAGGTTATCAATGAAGGTGAAACATGTGCCGCAATCAAGCAAGCCAAGCAGGTAAAGCCTCTGTGGTATGGAGGACTATGGCTGAAATATTTATATGGGGAAGCCTGGCAGATCGATTACATTACGCTCCGCAAACCCACCAAGGCAAGTGCTATGTACTTACAATGGTGGAAGCAACCACAGGATGGCTGGAAACATATCCTGTGTCCCAGCCACTGCCTGGAACACTATCCTGGCCTTGAAAAGCAAGTCCTGTGGTGACATGGCACCCCAGAAAGAATTGAGTCAGATAACAGGACTCATTTCTGTAACAACCTCATAGACACCTGAGCCAAAGAGCATGGCATGGAGTGGGTATATCACATCCCCTGTCATGCACCAGCCTCCAGGAAAATGAGCTGCTAAAGACTATACTGAGAGCAATGGGTGGTGGGACTTTCAAACATTGGGACACACATTTAGCAAAGGCCACCTGGTTAGTTAACACCAGGGGGTCTGCCAATCGAGCTGGCTCTGCCCACACAAAACCTTTACATACTGTAGGAGGGGATAAAGTCACCGTAGTGTGGATGAAGAATATGTTAGGGAAGACAGTCTGGGTTACTCATGACTTGGGCAAAGGCAAACCCATCTGTGCCATTGCTTTTGCTCAAGGACTTGGATGCACTTGGTGGGTGATGCGGAAGGATGGGGAAGTCCAATGTGTACCTCAAGGGATTTGATTTTGGGTGAGAATAGCCAATGCTTTAAATTGTATAATGCTAATTGCTAAACAACCCTGCCATTGTATGTCATCACTACTACAATTGCTACATGCCGTATCAATGTAATTATGGTAAGAATCACCCAAATTAATGAAGGATGAACTTTGAAACTGAGCAAAGTGAGGCAATGATGTAACTAGAACTGGCTTCAGCAACCAGCACCCAGCAGCTTCCTCAGACTTGACATCTTCAACCAGCAGAGTGTGGGCGTGGGCCACAGATACACCAGCCACCAGCTCAGCACACACCATCACTCCTGCCCCGGGAGACTGTTGTGACAGATGGAGCCCAAAGTCATGGATTGAATGAAATGAACGAACGTTTTAGAGGGATGGCCCATAGACTACGGGAATAAAATCTGCATATATATATATATATGATATATCAAAGACAGGAACAGTGGTGATTAATTGGAAAGTGTGTGATCTGGGTATGATGTAGATGGTATAGAATAAGGAGTGGGTGATGTCCAGGATGGAGTTAATTTTCACAAGAAGCTGGGAGGGGACACAGGCAGGACAGCTGACCCAAACTAGCCAAAGGGATATTCCATACCATATGATGTCAGACTCAGTATATAAAGGGGGCTGGCTGGGGAGGAGGGATCGCTGCTTGGGGGGTGGAGGGGGGATGATGACAGGGGACAGGACACATGACAAGCAGGGCATCAGGTTTTGGATAGGGTGAGTAAATTGCATTGCATATCACCTGCTTTGCATATTCTTTTATAAGTGGTGGTGGTGTTTTCCTCTTCCTAGTAAACTGTCCTTAGTCCAACCCATGAATTTTAATTTTTTCTTCCGATTCTCCTCCCCATCCTACTGGAGGTGGGGGGAGGAGTGAGTGAGCGAGTGCCACATGGTGCTCAGCTGCTGGCTGGGGCCAAACCATGACAGTAACAAAGGTTGTGTGACAGGTACCTGAAAGAATTAAGCTGCTGGGTGAGCTGGTGCAGACAGGCTCACACGCACGCTGCTCAGGTTTAGCATCATCTGGTGTTTGGAGCACGCTGTCAGAGAGCATGCCCTGAAATACTTGGGGTGGGCTTCCTCTGGGGCACACGTGGTTCTGAGAAGTTACTATTTTGTATGTGTATTTTTAGTATGAGACTCTGTTGTGCCTGCGAGAGCAGTGGTGGTACGTAGCATGATGTTGAGGCTGAATATTGCTTGTCCCAGGGTTGTGGTGAAAGGAGTAGTGAGTGAGTGCAGAAATGTGGCTTGTTGGGGTAGCTGTCAGCAGTGAGAGCAGTGCCCTTCTGGAGGTATGAGAGACCTGTGCCAGCTAATTCTGTGGTAAGAATTCATTGAACAGTTCTGATGAAGCAGAAGGAGAAAAAAAAGCTTCTAGTTCGCTTTTCTGTTGTCAATGTTGGCTGTATCAGAGAGAGAAGTGATGAAGCTATGGTTTTATCTCAGTACATGTAAATACACCAAGGAGGCACGCTAAAATGAGTGTTAAGATTTTTATAACCGAGGCCTGAGATTTGTTTGCATTTGGGTCTGAAGTCTATATTTGTTCTGTTGGATAGCACAGAAGCTGGATACTGTTTTACTCCTCTTAGTATTATAAAATTTATTACCTTCAGAAACAAGTAGTCAGGCTTACTGTATCTGTGAAATGTGTTACTGACTGAACCTCAAAGTTGCTTTCCAGTTGTTCATTGCAAGCTGACAGTAGAAAGTAGTGCGCTATCAGCATGTAGCTTAGACTTGCTGATCCTCTTGATTTTTTTTTAATGTATATAGCTGTCCTGAACTGTGTAGATTTCCTTATTTTGTAGGTCAGTTGGATGTTAGGTGTTGCTCTGCAGCTGGTGTTCTTTTTCCTGTTCTGACAACAGAGCTAATGAATATCAACAGAAAGAAAACTAGTTCTGTTCATTCTCAGGTTTCCTTTGGAGAGTAGTAGAGACCCATGCTATCAATACCTTACAGACTATTCTGATTTCCCATGTGAAAAATCAGGAGAAAGGATGTAAATGAGAGCACTAAGCTAATTTTTCTGTCTTTTAAAATGCCGAGGCAGAGACCCAAGTGGTCTGCAGTGTAATTTACCTAAGAACAGAAAGAATTCATCAGAAAAATGTGGTCTCAAGGGCCAGGAGACAAGGAGGGAAGGACTAAGAGGAACTCAGGCTTTCGTCTTTGTTTTGGTGATTCTGTCCTTGTGTTCTTGAAGACCGGGGCGGGGGGGGGGGGGGCGCACCAGCAAACAAACCAGCAAAATCCCCTAAAAATTGTGGTTATTAGTATGACTGCATGGTGCTTTTTTTCTTCTTGAACATCTCCTCTCTTTTTTTTCTTTTTCTTTCTTTTTTTTTTTTTCTTTCTTTCTCTCTTCTCTGTGGCTGAAGTGGATGTGGAGATCCTTCACTGTTAGCAATAAGGTCGCTGAAAACTCTTCTGTTGCTTCCTGTGCAGTACATGTGCATGGAGAGAAGAGGTTAGCCACTCTGTGTAGTGCCTGCTGGGAGGGACAGCAGCTGGTCATTCCCAGTGAATCCCGAGAAGCTCAGGGAATACATTGAGTATTCATCTTGTCAGTCCTAGGTCTGTCTCCCACATACATCCCTGTGAGTCAGCAAACTTTTCCAGAAGGCACCTGGGCTAAACTAGAGGAAATGTAGTGTTACTGTATTCCTTCTGCCTGCGATATCTCTCCATGGTCTCATATATATTTTGAAAGCTGGTAAAAAATGACCTTCTATGGTTTTGTTTCTTCTTTTTGATCCATTCTGTTTTGTGTGCATTGTCTGTAATCACTGCCTTTGCTTTGCTTAGCCTCAGTCCTTGTTCTTCTCACGTGGCAATTTTCTTGTGAGTTTTCCATATCAAAGTTGTCTTTTATTAAAATTGCATTCTTTCTCTGCTATGAGACTATAATAGACAAAAGTATTAGCATGGTACCTTTATAGCGTGATGGCAGCGAAAGGCTCTATGTAAATGGAGCTCTTGAAAGAGGGCAGGAAACAGAACAAAGGAAGGGATCCTCACAGACCTCATGCTGAAAAATTGAACCTTTCCCTTGAAAAGCAGGAAGGTTTGCTTCCTGCAGCAGCACGTGAGAGGGGAATACTGGGCAAAGACTGACAAGGTGGTGCTGGCAGGCAGCAGATACAGAAGAATGATTTCTGATGCCAGTCAAGTATTGTGGGGTTCATGCTGCATTCTGCAGAGCAATATAACATCAATAATACTGTATTTCAAAAGAAAACAGTTTAATTCTTCAAAGATTCATGTGGCCTTCATTTTGGTGGGGGGAGCTGACTTGACTTACAGCCAGTGGAATCCCTTGCCTTGCAACTGTTGTTAATTTTGGTAGGAATAGAAGTAGTAAAGCCTGTGCATTGCCAGGCAATGTATACAGACATAACATGGGGTAGTGGTTGTACTTTCTGATCTAAAAAGAAAAAGGGAAAAAAAAAAGACTGGGAGTGCAGAGCAAAGCAGGAAAATTATTTGCCTAAAATCATGCAGCTGATTTATGGCTGAGCTAGGATCAGTTTAGTTTCTGACCAGAGTGGATTCTTGCTGTCTCTTTCATGTTTTTTCGTAAGTTCTTTTCAGGAAGTCAGTGAAGGCACAGCAGTGGAGGGCAGTAGAAACTAACTCTCTCCTTCCTTTTTTTGTCTCGGTCCAGGTTAAGTTGTGTTTTCTGACGTTTGAAGAGCAAACAGCACCATGGCTCCATGAATTGCAAAACTGCAGAAAGTGTGGCAGCCCTCCCTACCTCCAGCTTTCCTTCCTTCCTGTGAAGTTCTTCTCGGGACCTTTGGTTTCATCCCCACTGGGCACACAGTGGGCTGCCTCGGCATCAGAGCAGAAGCAACAGTTTGCGGATCAGGGAGAGCCATGGCCTTGAGCTTGTATGTCTTTCACCTCTTCTATAAGTTCAAAGTGTTGGTGCTTGTCACTTTGTGTTTGTTGGTGCTATGGGCCACATTCAGTTACTTTGTGGACTCCAGACCGGACATTTCTAAAGCTGAGAGTATGATGGAGGATTTCAGAAAGGTAACTAGCCTGGAGGACAGTCAAAAAGAAGAGAAGATCGAATCAATTGTGAAAGTTCCCACGGTGAAGTCATTTCAGGGTCACTGCCCAGCTCTATCTCCATACCTGCGTAAGTGATGGTGCTTTCGTCTCCTTTCCAACAAGTTAATCTGCTTTGGTACTGCTGACTTAGTTTTCTTCTTAGTCATTGTACAGTTAGATGCTTTTCCTGTGAAACAAATACAACCCAACTGGTTGCAGTAAGTGCTTCTGGGTGAGGAAGCAACTTGTGGCACAGAGTGCCTGTGCTGGGTCTGACTGGGATAGCAGCCCATATGGCACTATGCTTTGCATTTGTGGATAAAACAGCTTTGGTAGTGCACCAGGGACTTGGCTACTGCTGAGCAGCGTTTGCACACTGTTGAGGCTTTGTCTCTCTCTTGCCTGGCCCCCTAAAATCTGGTAGGCTGAGGGTGAGCAAGAGGTTGGGAGGGAACACAGCTGGGACAGCTGACTCCAACTGACTGAAGGAATATTCCATACCATTTATTGTGCACAGCAATAAAAGCCCAGGGAAAGGAGCAAGTGGGGGTGTTCACAGTTATGGCGTTTGTCTTCCCAACAACTGCTATACGTGCTGAAGTCCTGCTTCCCAGGACGTAGCTGGACATCTGCCTGCCTATTGGAAGTAGTGAATGAATTTCTCATTTTGCCTTGCCTTGTGTGCAGCTTTTGCTTTTTTATTAAACTGTCTTTACCTTGACCACAAGTCTTTTCACCTTCCCTCAGTTTTTTGCCTTTTCATTATTGATGTACTTTTGTCTCTCTATCTTGGCAATTGAAAGACTTCACAGCTGCATTACTGTTAGCTGTACTTACGGTGAAGGTTCAAATAGGTGACTTTCCTTGGTTTGCCCCTTTTTTTTTTTTTTAGTCCACTATTTTTTTTTGTCTTGATATTGCTAGCAGCACCAGGCTTCTGCTTTGCAGTACCAAGTCATTAAGTCATTGTTGTCTTCCTCTTTCTTTTTGTGAACCTGATGAAGGATTTGTTTGGGAAGCTGGATTCTTTCCTCCTCCCCCATGTAGTCCAAAAAGCTGCTGGGTAGCTGCACACCCTGACCCCCGGATGTGTTTGCTTAAGTAAACACACTGTGGCTGTAGCTGTTGCAGTTGCCTGCATTGTTCTTTTTCATGGCTTGGCCAAGTCCAGAGGGGCTGGAATGATAGCTCAGTGGAAGAGAAGTGATGGAAATTTCATTTGGCTACAGATAGCCTTGGTACATTTTACCTTACAAATTTATGGCCTGATGCTTTTGTTCATGCTTTAAGTAGAGATGATTTCTCACAGCCACAATCGTTTGTCTCTTTCCATTTCCCTCTCCTCTGCTTTACCCTGGCAGCTGTTTCTGACCAATCCTCCTGCAGTAGGGTGGAACCTCTTGATTTTTATTTTTTTAATATATTTTTTATCATCATTAATCTATAATCACTTTAAGCAATTAAACACTCAATACCTGGTTGTTCCACTGCCCGTGTAATGTCCTTGTAGCACTACTTTTCTCTTGGAAAGGCAGAGAAACCAACTGGGGCTTGAACTTGGGTTTCTTATGCTGATTACAGAGTGCTTCATTAGGTGACTGCACTAGCCACGACCAGAAATGGCTTGGGAAAGCTTCTTGTGTTTCTCCTACAGGAGGTGCCAGCAAACTCACCTTCAAAGCATCTCTCACACTAGAAGAAGTGCAAAAGGAGAACCCTCAGGTAGCCAAGGGCCGGTATCACCCTACGGAGTGCTCAGCATTGCAGCGTGTGGCCATTGTCATCCCATACCGCAATCGAGAGAAGCATCTGCTGTACCTCCTGGACCACCTCCACCCCTTCCTACAGAGGCAGCAGCTAGACTACGGCATCTACGTTATTCACCAGGTGAGGCAACTGTGCAGAGACATGTTTGGGTGGGGATGATGTGCTCTGCGGTCCGAGAGGCATGCTGCTGCCTCTAGTGTCTAACATCAGTCCTCCAAACCTGCTTCAAACACCTCTACTTGTTGAGGGATGCAGCGGTGCATGCAGCCATTGCTGGTAGCACTATGGGATCTCAGCTGCTGTTAGCAAAGCTGGGAAGTATTAACAACCTGTCTTTAACTGGTGTCCATTTCTCGGTCTAAGTAACTTACTATTTCTGAGTTAGCGTTCGAGGTGAGCATCTTTTGCATTACTAACGCAACTCACTTCTCTTGCACTATACACATACGTAACTAGGCTGACATGTTTTCTGTCTTTAAATTTGGAGTTGTTTGGATTGAAGGCTTGAGTTTGTATCTAGCTCTTCTCTCCCATCTGCTTGCTGGCTGTTGTGCTTAGTAAGCTGTGTATATCATGTGGTTGTACTTATTCTGCTGTCTCAAGCTAAACATGCCAGTTATT